CAAACTACGTGGGCCCATTATCCCAAATTGAAGCTTATTACTTTACATGGGGTACTTACAAAAATACCCTTAAAATTAAGGGTGTTTTGAAAAATTACATGAAATGTTTTTAGGAAGTAAAAAATATTGTCTAAAATGAAAAAAGTACACAATGTCACATTTTTATAAAAATTGTCACTTTTTTACCCTTTTTTTTAAAGTGACATAAACTCAAAAAAAGTGACACACAAACTCAAAAAAGTGATGAATACTTAAAAAGGTGACAAAACACAAATTAAAACCTATGTTTGTTATTCAAGAAAGTCATAAATTTTTAAAAAGTAACAAACAATAAAAAGTGGAAAAAAATTCAGAAAAGTGGCGGAAAAAAGTGACGAACACTCAAAAAAGTTACAAACACACAAAAAGTGATAAAATTGTTTCTTTAAAAAAAACAGAAGTGCACAATGTCACTTTTAAAAGTTTAGTGTCATTTTTTATTATACAATCTCACTTTTATTAAAAAGTGACGTTTGTTACTAAAAATATGATAGAAGTTTAAAAAAACTGAAAAAAAAAAAAGTGACAAATTCTAAAAAAAAAAAGTGACAAATACTAAAAATGAGACAAACATTCAAAAAAGTAACATAAATTTTNTTGCATCTTTCTGTAATATTTTTGATGTCACAATTTTTGTGGAGGAAGCCAACAGGAATGTAACTACAATTTCTAGTAACCATAATACAAATAGCATGGGTCGACATTTGGATATTTACATAGGGATGTGTATGATGTAACATGTTGCACCAAACCAAAACATAAAACACATATTAAAGCGTTAATTTGATATGTAGTCCCAAAATTACGTCATTAAAGCAAATACTGCAATCTATCGAAACAGGTTTGATGCCAAAAAATCACAAATTACTTTATAAATAAAAACCTCATTGAGAAACACAAAAAAACTCATAAGAAAAAGATAATGTACACAAGGAAAGCAACCATCTCCTTCATTTGCATTAATCTTCCACCAGTGGTCCCAAATCCAAGTGGTTGATAAAGCGCAGCAGCAGTAATGAAGGNTAATGTACACAAGGAAAGCAACCACTTCCTTCATTTGCATTAATCTTCCACCAGTGGTCCCAAATCCAAGTGGTTGATAAAGCGCAGCAGCAATAATGAAGGAGAGTGTAAATCCTAGAATCCTACGGTATGAGCCACTGGTGTATTCCTCTTAGCGAAAAGATCCTCAAATTGATAGGTTCGGAAATAATCTGTAATCGTCAAATTATAGTAGTAAATCGACAAGCCTTTGCACTCCCATCCTTTATCGCACATTTTATTCCCCTTCTCCTCCTTAACTACCAACAGCGGAGTTGGTGATTCTTCCTCACTCGCAATAACAGCCATAGCCAGAACCACCATCAAACACCCAATACAAGCCATTTTTTAGCCCATTCTTTTGCTACTAAAGAAAAAGGAAATACCACAAATTATTGAGTAATTCCACAAGGAAAATGTGAGAAGAATGGGCTAAAAGGAAATAATAAAGGAAATGGAGATTTACATTCAGATTTTGGTCCGAAAGA